TTGCCTCTGCCTCCCAAGTAGCTGGGACCACAGGTGCCTGCCACAACGCCCCGCTGTTTTTTTGGTTGCAGCTGTCATTGATGTTTGGTGGGCCTAGGCTGGATTCGAACCCACCACCTTAGGTGTATGTGGCTGGCGCCTTAGCCACTTGAGCCACAGGTCCTGAGCCGCCTATCTTTTTTATAAGCAGCAGGATTTTGTGCTATTGCTCAGGCTGGAGTCCAGTGGCCTGATCATAGTTCTCACTGTAACCTTGAACTCCTAGGACCATATTGCCTTCCCACCTCAGCTTCCCAAGTAGCTAGGACTGCAGGTGTCCTCCATTATGCTCAGCTATTTTTTATTTTATCTTATTTTATTTTTATTTATTTCTTTTTTGAGACAGAGCCTCAAGCTATTGCCCTGGGTAGAGCACCGTGGCATCACAGCTCACAGCAACCTCCAACTGCTGGGCTCACGTGATTCTCCTGCCTCTGCCTCCCAAGTAGCTGGGTCTAAAGGCACCTGCATTAACGCCTGGCTATTTTTTGGTTGCAGCCATCATTGTTGTTTGGCGGGCCTGGGCTAGATTCGAACCCGCCAGCTCAGGTGTATGTGGCTGGCACCTTAGCCACTTGAGCCACAGGCGCTGAGCCCGTTTTATTTTATATTGAGACAGAGTCTCACTGTGTTGCCCTTGGTAGAGTGCTGTGGTGTCCCAGCTCACAGCAACCTCAAACTCTTGGGCTTAAGCTATTCTCTTGCCTCAGCCTCCCACCTCAGACTACAGGTGCCTGCCACAATGCCTGGCTATTTTTTTTGTTGTAGTTGTCGTTGTTTAGCAGGCCTGGACTGGGTTCAAACCCACCGGCTTTGGTGTATGTGGCTGGCACCCTAACCACTGAGATACAGGTGCCGAGCCTAATTTTTATTTTTTAATGTTTTGTGGTGACGGGTTCTTGCCAGGTTGCCCAGGCTTTTCGTGGTCACCTGGCCTCCTAAAGTATGGAACTATAGGCTTTGTGTAGTAAAAGTATCAGTGAAAGAAGCTCTGCATACCAAAGTGAGCTTCTATATTTCAAAGGGCTATACTTGCTTAGCTTTATTATTATTATCATTATTATTATTATTTTTGAGACAGAGTCTCAAGCTGTTGCCCTGGGTAGAGTTCTGTGACATCGTAGCTCACAGCAACTTCCAACTCAGGCTCAAACTCCCAGCCTTCTTGCTGAGATTTAAATGTTCTGCTATATTTGTTTAAAAGTCATTTGTGGGCTTGGTGCCTATAGCGCAAGCCACATACACCGAAGGTAGTGGTTTCAAACCTGGCCTGGGCCAGCTAAAACAACAGCTAAACAACTGTAACAAAAAAATAGCTCGGCGTTATGTTGGGCACCTGTAGTGCCAGCTACTTGGGAGGCTGAGGCAAGAGAATCGCTTGAGCCAAAGAGTTTGAGGTTGCTGTGAGTTGAATGAAAAACTGAGCCCAGGAGTTCAAGGTTACTGTGAGCTAACCATGAGTGCCATGGCATCTACCCAGGGCCCCAAAATGAAACTGTCTCTAAAAAAAAAAAAACAAGAAGAAAGGAAGAAAGGTTTATATAAATATATATATAATCATTTGTGTCAGTTAAAGGTAGATATCTTTAATTATAAAAATTATTAAAGATTTTAAGTTAAATGATAAAGCTATCCTGTGGTACAGATTGAAATTCTTTTAAGAAATTTAGCTGAGGGCTTGGTTCCTGTAGCTCAAGCGGCTAGGGCACCAGCCACGTACAACGGAGCTGGTGAGTTCAAATCCAGCCTGGGTCTGCCAAGCAACAATGACAACTACAACCAAAAAATGACCGGGTGTTGTGGCAGGCACCTGTAGTCCCAGCTGCTTGGGAGGCTGAGGCAAGAGAATTGCTTGAGCCCAGGAGTTTGAGGTTGCTTTGAGTTTGTGATGGCCACTGCAGTCTACCCGGGGTCAAGACTTGAGACTCTGTCTCAAAAAAAAAAAA